TATTGGTATTAAAATTGAACATTGGATTGAATAATTCAATTGAGATCGTTCCCCTTTCGTTTATTCACATCAGGTGGGTATCACGTTAGGTATACACTACTACCACCACTATCTATCTACCTACCTTTATTATACCTGTTGCCTTTCTTTCAATAAAGTAGTAGTATTAGTAGTAGTAGTAGTAGTAGTAGTAGTAGTAGATTGGTGTTTGTTATTGAAGTTATTTCATCGCCTCAGGCCAGAACAAGGCGAGGCTCTCTTAACAAGTACGCAAGTTCTGTCCATGAACGATGACGGACAAACATAGTTTATGATTATGTTAGTTAACATACTAATGGAATTTCTATAAAACGTATTAGAAACATTTTGATCTAAGTAAAATTAACGAATAATTATTTACAACATTATTTAAAGAAATCTTTTAACATGAACGTTTCATTTTGATTCAATTTTTTATTTTATTTTTCTTTTAAATGTTTTAATTTAAGCAATGATTTTTTAATTGTTTATTAAAAATTATATCTAACGTGTGTGTGTGTGTGGGTGTGTGTGTTGATAAGAAAATATAAAATAATAATAAAATACGAATAATATTGTATTTTGTTTAAATAATAATAATTATATCTTTATATTGTCGTTAATTTATCGTTTTAAATTAAATACAATTTAATTATTATCAAATGTGTGTTGATTAACAAAATAAATTAATATTAATAAGTAATATAAAATGATATAAAAAATTTTTCCTAAAATAATAACCAACTAAATATCATTGTAATTATTAATTTAATAATTGAATTAATAAATTAATTTAATATATAAATTAATAATTACATTATATTTTTATTATACTGTTATATTATTATAATATTTCGTTTGTTTGTATGTTGATAAGAAAGGAAGATAAAATAATAAAAACAAATTTATGAATATTAACCTTCGCTTACCACACTTGGGTCCAAAGGACCCAGACCTTTTTTTGCATCTTCAGTCATTTTTCTCAATTGTTCAACTTTGATAATTTTTTCAACATATTTAAATTTAATTTAAAGCTATAAAACCTTTATAATATTTTTAAGTAAGTATTAAAGAAGTGTCAAAAAAAATGTTGAAGTAAATCTATGCAATAGTTTTTGTTTTATAACAATTTTTCTCACCCGGGTCCAAAAGACCCGGGTGTGGTAAGCGTGTTCCTCCAGGAAGGGTGGTAAGCAGTGGTTAAAAAAGAAAATTGAAACAAATTTAAATTTCATTATTAATTTCACAAAATTTGAAACAAATTTAAACAATATTAAACAAAATTACAACAATATTTTAAAAAATAATATTTTAATATTATTATATTTAATACATAAATAAATAAATTATATAATAATTGAAAACCAATTAATATTATTAAATAATATTAAATATTAAATATTAATTATAAATATACCATTATTATAATTATATATATATATATATTATAATTATATTATTTATATTATAATTATAATTATACTCAATAAATAATATAATAATTAAAAACCAACTCTATATATCAATTATAATAATTAATATAAATAATAAAATATAAACAATACAAAAAATCAATTAATCAATATAATCTAATTACTTTCTTAACAAATAATAAATCAAACATTAACGCGAATATGAAAATTAGTAATCCAATAAATGTTTGTGTTATACAACTCTTGTGGAATCCCTTTTATTCTTCCCTTTAAAAAATTGGGATGATTTCATCCCTCTGAAAGGTAACTGAGTAAAAGGGAGGGAGAGAGAGAAAGAGAGAGAGAGAGAGAGAGTAAAAAAAAAAATAAAAAGAAATAGACTAATACGATAACCATAGATTAGATGTTAGATAAGCGGTTAACATAAAAGAAAAATCTTTTTAAAATAGGTTTGAAAGGCACTCAGTTAAAAACATAGTCCACTTCATTGAATTGTGCGACACCATGGGTGTCTTTTCTCCGTTTATGGGTTAGAACCTTTCCTTTTCTTTTTTCTCTTTTTTTTTTCTTCTTCTACTTTTCGGAATCGAAGTGGGGATATATCTCTCAGGTTTGAAGGTTTCAAAAGGTGAGGTAAATGCCTGTGTCCTGTTAGTCGTCCCGTTAAAGTCTTCCGGGCTACGCGTTCATGGGGAAAACAAAAAATAGAAACGTCAAAAGTTCTTTTTTTTTCACAAATTTCTTCTCATTTCTTTTTTTTTTTTTTTTAATTTATGTTTAATTTTAATTTTAAATTAATATATATAAAAAAAAAAGAAAACACATTTTGAACATCAATTCGTTTCATTTCGTTTCGTTTCGTTTCGTTTCAGTTTGTTTGTTTGTTTGTTTTCTAGTTAGTTTGGTTTTAAAAAAAAACAAAATAATGAAGTTACGTCGTCAATGTAATAACACATTACTGTATAGATTTGTAAGTATAAATCTATATATATATATATATGTTGATGTGTGAATGTGTGTGTGTCTGTATATATTGGTTTATAAGTTGGTGACACATTAGTCACCTTGTTGTAATCATAGTGTGTGGTTGTATATGATATAAATAGATATTTAATTAACACCTTAGAAAAGATACAACTGTATTCAACGTAATTGTTATCTTGCATTTGGATTTTAACGTGTTACAAGTTTTAAATACAATCTTTTTATCTTTTTATATTGATTCATACTTATTCTTCGTTAATATTTTCTATTATTATTCTTATTATTATTATTATTATTAGAATGATCAAGTGTAAACAATTTTTGAACTGAATTCAAATAATGATACAGTTTAATTGTACCGATACTTCATTTAAATTGAAACTGTTAAATCAAATAAAACATGGTGATTTAAAAACAAATAAAAAAGATTAAATAATAATGGGTAATGTTTTATAATAAATAAACAATAAATTCTAACAATTTTTAAACTGAATTTAAATAATAATCAAGTTTAATTATACTGAAATACTTCATTTCAATTGAAACTGTTAAATCAAATGAATCAAAGTGATTTAAAACTAAACGAAAAGATTAAACAATAATTGATAGTGTTTTATAATAAAGAAAAATATAATATTTAATAAAGTGTAAACAATTTGTAAAAGTAAATTTAAAATATTGATCAAGTTTTACAATATACTGATATATTAATTTAATTTTAAATGAAACATTCAAATTAAAACTGGTTCAATAAAATTCAAATTAAACTGTTCAACAAATCGTATCTCTCATACGATGAAAAAAAAAAGAAAAACAATATAAACAAAATAATTAATTTACTTTAATAGAAAAACAAATTATCAACTGTTAATTTAAATTGTAAATTAAATATAATATTAAACACGATGATATTATTATGACAATTTAACCCCACATTAAATTCTGTTGAAGTAAATAAATAATACAATTATAATATTAATCTTAACGTTAGATTTACAAACTGATATTAATTTGACTAATTTCAAATTTTTTTTGGCTACATATATATATATATATACTATATACATGTTTATAAATAAATAAAACTTCAATATTATTTTTTATTCTTTCAAAATATATCTTAATTTTTAATACCAAATCAGAAATGTTTATAAAGCAAACTTCTTCATTGAAACAATATTCGTAAATTTTTACAAAAAATATAAATAAAATAAACAAATATTATTAAAAATATATAAAAAGAAAAATAAACAAATTATCATTAAATTTTGATTACATAAATAAATAATACAATCGTAATATTAATCTTAACGTTAGATTTACAAACTAATATTAATTTGAGTAATTTCAAATATTTTTTGGTTACATATATTTAATATTATATATATATATATATATAAATAAATAAAACTTAAATATTATTTTTTATTCTTTTAAAATATATACCATATAAATTAATACCATAATAAGAAATATTTTAATATCATAAATAAAAATATTTTGATAACATTTAATACCATAATTAGAAATATTTTAATACCATAATAAGAAATATTTAAAATTCACTTCTACATTCAAACAATATTCATACATTTTTACAAAAATATAATAAACGAAATCTCCATAAATCTAATATTAATAACAATGAATGTTTATGATATATCATAAACATATAAATGATATCTATTTCTCTTATGAAAGTTGAGAAAACAACGAAAGCAACCAAAGAAGTCAAAGGTTTAAGACGAAATATAATTCAACAGTGTATGTATATATGTATATATATATCCTAAATTGAACTGAAATTTTCGTTCTTTTCGTTAACACGTATATCTCTTTCCCTTTCTCACATTATAATGTACTGACTCATGTTCATGAATATTCTTAATAATCTTAATCGAGCCTTATCGTCGTAATCAACGTGTTTCGTCTTTTCAAAACGTTGAAAAATATCATTCTAACTGATGGATCTTATTCTTTATCCTTTTATTTAACATTTCTTTACTTTCCAGTTCTATTTTTAATTTTATTTCTGTTTATCAACGTGTGTTTTGTTCATCAATGTGTGTTTTCTTCATAATCTTTCAAAACTTGGAATATTTTTCAAAGTTGGTGTCTGATTCTTTATACTTTTATTTAACATTTGTTAGCTTTCCAATTTTGTTTTTCGTTTTCTTTTTATTTTTGTTCATCAACGTGTGTTTTGTTCATAATCTTTCAAAACTTTAAAAAATATAATACAAACTGATGTCTTATTCTTGATCCTTTTATTTAACATTTCTTAGCTTTCCAATTTTGTTTTTAGTTTTATCCATCAATGTGTGTTTTGTTCATAAACGTGTGTTTTGTTCATAATCTTTCAAAACTTTAAAAAATATAATACAAACTGGTGTCTTATTCTTTATCTTTTCATTTAACATTTCTTTTCTTTCTAATTTCATTTTTGTTTTGATTTTTGTTCATCATCTTTTGAAACGTTAAAAAATGTAATACAAATTGGATTACATTTCTTCTTTATCATTAATCTTTTTCATTTAACTTTTCATTGTTTTCCAGTATTGTTCTTGTTCTTGTTCATGTTTGACAGTTTCAATTAATTTATAATGCATTTATATAGATGAATGTAAAATAATGTATTTAATTAACAAATTTTTTATTTAGAACACAATGACGTGCAGAAACGAGCTGACGATGATGAAGATGACGATGATGATCAGCTCCATGTTTATCATTGGAATTCTTCTTCTGGTTACTAAAATCAATTACACGGATGGCTGTAACGAAGCCATTTGTGCTAGCGTCGTTAGTAAATGCATGCTAACGCAAAGTTGCAAATGTGATCTTGTCACCTGTACTTGTTGCAAGGAGTGTTTCTCGTGTCTCAGTTATTTATACGACGAATGTTGTTCTTGCGTTGGTAAGTTTTTATAATAATCAAAAAACAAACAAATATAAATCAAATGTGATCGTTTAACTGTTAGGATGAATCAAAAGTACGTACTTTTATTGTTTATTGTTTCAAATAGTGCAATGTTTTGTTTTGAAATCATTAAAATTACTTTATATGCAAGTGAAACGTTCATTTAAAAAACTGCACCATCTTCTTGGTTGACCATAATAATATAAAATACTAATACTAATACTATGAATTAGCAATGTACAAAAGTATTCAATCAAAAGTACGTACTATTATTGTTTATTGTTTTAAATAGTGCAATGTTTTGTTTAAAGTCAATAAAATTACTTTATATGCAAGTAAAATATTTGAACTACTATGTCGAGTGTGACTCGACATCAGAGTTTTATCTAAAAATATATCATACACTTCAAAATTACAAAATAGAACAATAATCTAAATAAAACAGATATTTAATTAAATTTGTTTCTATCTTTATATATTGAAATTGTGTGTGTATCATATATTATTTAAATATTATTAAATTAAATTTCCCATAAAATATTGAAAAGCATTGATATCATTGCTGATAACAAAATTGAAATATAATTCAAATTGCAAATAACTAAAAATATTACTCATTACAAACTAACATATTTGAATTGTTTATTTTTTTGATTTGTAAAATGTACTTTTGATAAAAATTAATTTTTAACCAAAAACTGTACAAAAAAAACTTTTGATTCATCCTAATAACAATAATAATAATAATACAACGATTGAAAATTCTTCCTATGTTAATTTTGTGTTTTTTTCTATTTCAAAAAAAAAAAAAAACAAAGATCTCTGCCCAAAACCGAACATCACGGACAACCCGTTGAGCAAAAAATCCCACGTGGAAGATTTCAGCGAACCGGTACCAGGTCTCTTCCAAGCACTCACAGCAGAACCGGATCCTCGCGGACGTTGGCTCACCTTTAGCTTCCCAGTCGATTTTGACATGGCCTTGTTTGCGCCAAAACAAGATAAAGAAATCAAATATCACATGCGTAAGTATAAAATTAATAAAATTAATATCATTTTCTATTCTTCTTATTTAAATATACCATTATACTCGAAAACCATTTGCAATTTTAATTAAAACACTAAACGTACTTCATGAAACATTAACTAACATTAATTAAATCAACAAATGACTGATTGTCAATTATTATTTTTCTGATAAATAATTTCTTATTAAATTATATTATATATATTATTTTTAATTAACCAAAAATTCATGATCAAAATAACAATTTTTTACAACTAGTTACGTTTAGTATTAAAAACTAGAAACCCCCAAATCCCTGACCCTTAACCCCACCACAAGTATTACAATTATAAAAAAATACACCATAATACTATACATATATAAATATGTGTTTGTTGTTTTACAGAAACTGCTGATGAAGTTGTGCATCCTTTAAAACCAAACATCATGACAGTAAATTGTACAGTCGTATTTATGGCACAATGCAACTCATGGAACAAATGTCGAGCTTCCTGTCAAAGTATGGGTGCAAACAGTTATAGGTGGTTCCACGATGGTTGTTGTGAGTGTATTGGTGATACGTGCATTAATTATGGTATCAATGAATCCAGGTGTATCCATTGTCCATTGGATAAAGAAGAGGATGATTTAAATGAACAATACGATGATTTTGGTCAGGACGAAGACGATACGGTTGAAGATGATATGGATTAATTCAAATCTTAAATATTAATATAGTGAATAATGTGTACAAACTATGCGAAAAACAATGGAGTTCGCTTTTAAGTGCAATTTTTTTTTCATCAATATTAATATTATCTCCTATAAATATCATTGTATTTGATCAATGATACAATTTAATCTCACAAATGTGAAAACTTATAACAAGTTTAATCCTTATTTTAAAGGAACTTATCTTAGTGTCCAATAATTATCACTAGGATCAGAACATTTTAATTAAACCATGACAAACAACTAGATTATTTTATTTTAAGTATTTTAACGTGATCTTTTTAGCGTGTAAGAATTTCACGAAAATTGTCTTTTGTCCTATTTTATTTACCAAACCCCCACCCCCACCCCCTACCCCTATTTTTAAATTATTTTTTTAAAATAAATTTTTTAATGTCTTGTTTTAATTTAATTCGACGAAATACGACATCCATTTTTAAGAATCAAAATTCGTTGATATTTCAACTATCGAATAAAAAATAGAAGCATGAATTTTTAATATGCATTTTTTGTTTTGTTTGTTTAAATAAAACACTATCTTATTGTTTAATGGTCAAACATGTTCATGATTCGTCACTGTACATGACTGCAGCGACATAAACAACATACAAAGAAAAGATAATCATAAATCAATTGAAATATCTTGATGTGTAATATTAATTTATCTGATAATCCGAAATAGTATGTTTTACCTATTATTATTATTATTATATACTGTGCCATACGAATAAAAATTGTAAATATATACGTCAATATATATATATATATATTATGTATTTTAAAATTTATTTTTTCTTTTCTTTCTATACCGACACACACATCTCATTTTCATTATTTTAGTTTATTTACTTTCCTCTTACTTTGTTTAAAGGTTTCACAATTTTATGATATGAAATAAATAATTGATTTATACTAATTTATTACATCATCATCATCATCATTATCATAATCATCATACGAATGAATGAATTCGTGTTTCGTATTGATTACAAAATCATAATTAATTAACATAATCTACAATAACTCATTAATTCTCAATTAATTTCAATAAATTATGATATGTTTAGTTATTGCACTCAAATTTGTCTTTTCATTTAATTTGACGACGACAATAATATAATAAATATAATAATTATATTATTACAACAAAAATTTTACATTACACTTTTAAAACCTTTGTTTTTTTTTTTTTTTTTATTATAATTCCAATTAATTGGAACTCAATTTTTTTCTCTTCCTTTGGGAATATAAATATGAAAGAATAACGAATAACAATTTTACTTATATTTTTCTCCCTATTTGTTTCATTTTTTTTTTTTTTTATAGACTCATAATCTATATGAGTCATTAAAAGTTAAAACACATATTTTTGTCATATTATGCTCATAAATATCAAACATGTAAATGTCACAAATGGAATTAGTAGAATCACTATGTGATTCTGTCAAAAATTTGTCAATTTTTAAGTCACTTCAAACTTTAATTCTCTGATCATTGAATTTAACTATAAATTTTTAATTAAAGTTTCCAAGAGAAAGAGAGACAAATAGAGTTTATAAGTGACTTATCACATTATAATTTATCATCACATATTAAATGATATAATAATAATAATTAGAAGCTAGAAAAAAAAAAAACATGAACACACACACATTGTTTTTAGGTCGGCGGATGTTCGTCTTGTACTTCACTGCTTTCTGGTAATTTTATGAAAGGTACGTCATTGCCACTCCACATACTATATAATTGAGACCTTGAACATTCCTAAAATAATACATACACAAATGTGTACCAATATTTTGAAATAAAAACAAAAGAAGTTCAATTATGATATTTTAAATCATTTAAATGCATACCCCACCACCACCAGCACTTTCAGAACCAGAACGACTATAAGCAGAAACACATGAATCTGTTGATGAACTACTCTTTCTTGATGGCATAGCTTCAGTTGTTCCTAAGAAGCAAACAATTATTTCTTTTCTTATTTTTTCACCTAACCTTAACACACATACAACTTACCAAGTTCATTTTCCCTGTGATCACTATTATGAGAATGAATGCTATCTTTGCTATCCCCATAACCACTACCACTAGCAACACTCTGCTCTGTGATAGGAAAAACAATCAATCAAATCTATCAAACTTAATACAAATGAGAACATCATTGACACAAATAAATTATACCTGAATCTCTGTGTTCACCACTGTGAACACTTTGATCGCTGTCACGATGACCAGATTGATCAGACTGATCACTTGAATGTGAATCATGTGGCCAACACCTAGGTGAACATACTCTGCGTGGTTCAGGCCAAACTGTTGCTGAATCGTAATTAGTTTCATAATTACATGTAGTTAAAGTCACACCAGGAATGTGCTGAGTCGTGTACACTGATAATTGATTCGTTGGCCTGATACCTAAAAAGTATACAAACATGACCTTTTTATTTCTAAATCAACGTAGTATTATGTGTTATCCTTGCATTAGTTTCTACCTGGTTTACAAGAAAGAAGTTGAATTGCTTCACGAAGACCATCCTGACTAGCCATAGTGGAAGCTTTCCACACTGAGTCAGGTGTTGTCGATCTACTACGGTCCTGATGGGGTACTTTCAGTCTTGATCTAACTTCTTGTCGTGGCCATTCAGTAACATGTCGACAATCCCATGGCATAGACCATCTTCTCATAGTATTTTCTGAAGATTCTCCAGACATGTCTGCTGCAGCAGTCTCAGACCACCTCCTCTGAACCTATACATATATATTATTCATGACATATATTTAATATATATGTATATGTATGTTAATCACCTGCAGAGGAAACAATGGATAAGGTAAAGGTGATCTGTGACAATTTTGTACAGACTGTTGTGTTGTAGAAGATGTTATTGGTGACCTGTATAACCTTTCGAAGCATTGTTGAAGGGCAGCGATATCACAGTCAGCACTACCACTTTGTGAACAAGAACATTCTGCCATTCCACCTACAATTAATTTATTATTAATATTTATAAAACAAATATATACAATTAAATAATTCATTATGCTTTTAATTCTTACCAAGGCATTCGCAACAGGCCACACAAAATTGGTATTGCAAGTTAATAAATGTTAACAAGTTGTCTTTTAGAATATCCTAAAAAGGAAAATAGAACAGTCTCAATTAATAATAATTATTGATTTTATTTATAAACATAGAAAATAATGATAATACTGACATGTTTATCACCATCATTATTTCTTGCTTCGTGATCCTTCAATGCTGCAATAACATGATTCTTAACGGTGTTACTAGCAACGTTAGTTGCTCTTGATAATTCTTCCCAACCAACAAGACATTGCCCTGATAGACGATATTGAGCTACTGTATCGTGCACTGATAGAAGTGCTTGCAATGATTGTGCCAATTTAGTACCAGCTGTACAGAGATCATTAAGAGTCTATTTAAAAAGAAAATAGAATTAGTATGATTCTATGATCAATCATTTCTATTTATACTTATAATCAAATATAATTACCTGCAAATAAATAAGCCAATTGCCAAGACATTCGTTGACGTCCATTTGACCCTTGTTCATTTGATTATCGATGGTCTTTGACTCCAATCCACTTTCTGCCATATTTAGTATCACTCTCAAATATCTTGATGTCTCTTGAACATATTTAATTGACAAAAGTAAACATACATTTAGTTCTTTTTTTTATAATTCTTACTTATTTTTTATTAGACATATAAAAATGATATGTAAAATGTAATGCAGCGAAGATCAAATTGAGTGCAAAGACCAAATTGAGTGCAAAGACCAAATTGAATGCAAAGACCAAATTGTATGCGAATAAAATTGAAACATTACGAATACATATTACATGTATGTATGTAAATTTGTGTATATATATATAAATAAAATAAAATATAATTATAAGTTTTTAAGTAATAATAATAAAAAAATATAAACAAATGATAATAAGATTATTAAAATATTTAATAAAAAGAGAGAGATATGTATATATATATTATTCTTACATTATCCTTTGGTTTTACATAACTGAAGCAACGAATAACAAAACAATTGCAACATGTATGCCACATTTTTGATATTGTTCTAATAATCCAACTACCGGCGCCATCACGGATCCTTCTTCTTTATTGGAATACCTACAAATTGTAATATAACAAAGTAGATACAAATAAAACTATAGAAACACTTGTCTACACAAGTAGAATAGTTGCCGCATACGACATCTCTCATCGTTAATATTCAAACCATTGGCGACGTTCGAGAATAGAGATGGCGCCACATATTCAATTGCGGGAACAATTACTTTAAAAAATAAATAAATTATTTATATTTTTTCACCTATACTTTCTCAATTTATTTAATTAATACTTAATATATTAATATTTAATAAAATTTAATAGTAAAAATACAAAATTTGAAACATTGATTTGAATTAAAAATCGATAAAATTCAAATCAACGATTTGAATATTATCAGAGGGGAAAAATTCAAAATGGCGTTGAATGAATTCAAAACAATTACTTTATAAAAAAATAAAAACATAAATTACCACGATAAAAAGACTTTTTAATGATAATAATTAATTAATGCGAATGATAATGATAAATATTAGAAAAATTATAAATTTATGAGAGATATTAAAAATAAAATTAATAATTAAAATAAATTGAAGATAATCAATGATGATGTAGTAGTATTAATTCAAAATTAATTCATTTAAAAAAAAAAAATAATAAAAATTCATGCTATTCGCGTGATTGTTGATAATAAATATTAAGAAAAATGATAAAAATTCATAAATAATATTTTATTATTCATCAAATAATTAAACGATTCTCATTCGATACGATTCACCGGAAAGAAAGCGGTTAAAATAATAATAAAAAAAAAAAATGTTTGCTTGCGTGTTAAGAATCCTCTCTCATTTAATCTGTTTAAAGTTTATTCGCACGGATAGATATAATGACGTTAATAATAAAAGATGAAAGAACTGATATTATTGTTTTATTTCTTCCTTTCTTCCTTTCTTTCTTTCTTTACTACGAATAAAATAAATAGGAAAAGGTACCTTTCTTCTATTCTCACTGAAGGTGAAATCAACTTTGTTGTTCGTCATAAAGTTTCATAGTGAAGAAAAAGAAGAAGAACAAAGATTAATTTAATAACGTTGCCATTTGAAGATTACATCAGAATTTTAAATACTTCAAGTTAATAAGCATGCAAGATGAATGACGGTTATAAGGACACATCAAAAATGTCAAAAGAACATTAAACAAAAAATAATGTCAAATAATTCGTTGAAATGTAAGTGAATTTTTGTTTAAAATTATTTTATCTGTTTGTTAAAAAGAATGTTAAGAAAATATCTTTTTTTTTTTTTTTAACAAAAAGAAAGCAAATCAAAGGACACGTTTAATGGTTGGTAATAAAAAAAAAAAAAAAACCCACGTGTTGAATTAAATCTGGAGAGATCGGTGTGATTAACCAAGCGCAACCTTTAAAATTCGAAATTGGCAAAGGCGTGACGTTAACAGTGAACTTACCAAGAGAAATAAATAAATAAATAAATAAATAAAAAGACAATAATAATCAATTTCCCGTTTCTAACACCATTTCTTTTTATCCTTGACAAACTAACCAACCTAAATAAATTCAAACAAAATCTTGTGTCTTAATTTTATTTATATTTTTTTCTCCCTCCTTCTCTTTGTACAAACTAAAGATAAAAGAAAAAAAAAAGATAGATATATATATATAAATAAGTGAAAATAAAATAAGTAGAGGGAGAACCTTGTTCGGTCTAGGTGAAAGGTGCCTTTTAAGCGTGCGATGACGTCTCGTCGCGTCATTGGTCGATTGCAAAAAGAAAAGAAAAGAAAAAAAAAACAAACAAGAACAAAACTTGCTTCGCAACTATTGCTAAAGGTACGGGATAAACAAAAGGAGGTTAGAAATAGGAAAGAGAAAAAAAAAATAAGAAAAAATAAGAAGTAATATAATAATCTATGAAACAATGTAAAAGGTGTATAAAAAAAAATACTAATTTTTTATATATATAAAAACCTAACCAATAAAGTCATTCGATACGATCAAAAACAAAGGAGAGACATGTATGAACGAAAAAAGTCAAGAATGAGTGGGAGAAATAAGAAAAGAGTGGGAGTAAAAGAAAGGATTAGAGTGGGGGATGGAGTAAACGAAAAGAGCGGGAAAATTTAAATGTGACAGAAGAAATGAGAGTAGTTGGAGGGGGGGGGGAAGGAATACATTATAATACCATCGATTGAAAAGACTAAAAGGGTATGAAGAGGGGAGGGGATGAATAAGAAGAGTGGTGTGGACTTAACGGTAAAGCCCAGTGGGTAACCTTATAGGTTAAACAACAACACCATCGGATTCCCCATGAAAGAAGAAAACTCATCGTTGTAACTGACCACCACAGATCCACCTTTTTTTTTTTCTTTCGTTTTTTTTTCTTTTTCTTTTTCTTTTCACCGAGAGATCACGTCGCGAACTTCTGTGCACAACCAACTACTACTACTACTACTACTATTACTATTATTATTATTATTATTATTTTTATATGGTCAACGAAACATCACACGACCATCACATTTTGTTGACGAGAAAAGAAGAACATGTTTTATTCTCGTGTTTATAGACACGACGACTACTTCCTACTATCAGTCCCCCTCACCCACCTCCCCCAC